TAGCTTGCTCCGTTAAATCTATTGTCACGAGCGGCGACAAATACAAATGAAAATTTGATACAGCTAAGTACGCGACAAAATGTCAAGAAATTATTACACACAAAAGAAAAAAAAAAATTGTAATTTTTTTCATCTTTCATCGTTATTTCTCTTTCACATGTTGCTCAGTCGTTCACGATTTATTGGAATACCGCGTATTTCCTTCCTAATTATGAAATCGGTAGCAAGGCAAGAAAGAAAACGAAGAGAAAGTATAAAATCGGATGTAACAGTAAAACGATTTTTTTTTTTCTTTCTTTCTTAGAATCAGTCTATCTTCTTACAGTCAAAGCATAGTAATTGAATACGTTCGTCGACTGTTGAATACAGTAAATACAAGGACAGATTTTTCTTTTCTTTTTTTTTCAAATGTTAGTTTACAATAATTGGTTACTTCGTGTCTTCGTATTGGAGCGCAGGATTAACAAATGTTGATTTGTTGCATCAGTTTCTTGAGCACTTATTTAACGAACACATATTCGATATATACACCCATAAATAAAAAACCGTCACCTAAATAATTATTAAGAGCTTGTCCAAATACGGTAAAAACGTTTGCTTTCTTGTACTTCACGTTCATACAATTGTAAATTCGCACTTTTTTTTTATTTTATTTTATTTTATTTTATTTTCCATTCCAGTAGTCAGAGATGTGGTCTCCATATTGAAACGCATATGCGTACGTCGTGAATTAATTGAAGCAAGATTATCCCTATTATCTAAAGAGATCACTTTAACGATTTCAATAAATAATAATAAGAATAGTTTTCTATTTATAGAACATTGAGTTCATTTTGTTTGATATTCTCCTTTTTTTTTTTTTTTTTTTTTTTTTTGTTTGTAATAGAATAAAATATACAAACTCGTGGTATATTAATTACGTTCGTACGATTGACATTAAAATGTTTGTCAATATTTTTTTACTTTTTACAAGGAAAGAGTGGCTTCGTTGTGTAATTCAACAAATGGAAATATGTATCTGCGACAAGAAAGAAAATTGAATGGGAAAGTATCTATAACACACATTGTTCATTGTACCTGAGAAAAACAAATCCAAACTTATATAGAAGAGTAATAAAAGCACGATAAACGAATGTAAATCGATGTGTATCGTGGAAAAGAAGAAATGTACGTACAATAAAGTGTATATTTATGTACACGGTATTCGAAATTACTACGAGCTTATAGGAACCCTGTTGATAATGTCGACAACACGAATGAATATACTCCATGTCCGAAATATCAACCGAATATATAAAATACTCACGTACGTATATACATGTTAAAGGTAAAGCCCAAATCTTTAGTTTCGTCTGAATTGAATTTTTATATGATGAAACGAAGATTTCTGTGCGATCAATATGAATACTAAATATAATACCATTCGTTGTATTAATCAGTTTAATTAATCTATGATGAACGGAATCATTTGTGAGACTTGACTCGATCAATTTGCCTTTATGTTTAGGAAGATATTCTTCTTTATAAAACAGTCAATAACAAGTTGACCATTTTGCGACAATTGTGCTCGCGATTATGTTATGAAAACTTACAACATATTTATTTACAAATTAAATATTCGCTCGTCGTTATTTACAAATTAAATAACCGCTCATGGACTTTACCCATAACGCATGTAATTGCTTTAACGAGCACAATTATTTAATTTGAAATTGACAAAGATGTAGAAATACTATGCCTTTTTCCCCATGAAACTTATGCGATTTTTTTTTTTTTAAATATTTTATATCACACTGCAATCAACCGACAATTAGATTGTAATGGTTCAAACATTGTTTCGTACGTATGAATATAAAGATAAACACGTTCATCGACACCTAAATGTACATAAAAAGATGCTGGTCTCCGATATACTCTAATCCATACTGATATATGTACACTGCAGTCAATATACATCAATAATCAGGCATGTATATGATTGCGCGGTCTAATCAGACCAGTATATTATCACAAAATAAATGCTAAAAATTAAATGTCCTATCAATTGTCTTCTTCTTTTTCAACAAATAGATCCGATATATATATACACACACCATATTACTTATGTATTGATAAAATTCATCTACCACTGTATCGTAGATTCACTCGAATGACTTTTCTCTACTTCAGCTAAAGAAGTTAAAAAATGGAAGAATTGATTCCAAAATGAAATCGTAATTTGTTTCAACCAGATTCATGACAAAGTGTTACACGTTCGAGGTCTCTGGCAACAACAAAGACTTCGCAACCTTGCCGCTGGGCTAGACTCTTCTGATCACCGTTCTTCGACACTTTCATTTCCACCACTTTCTTGCTGAGGTCTTGCAATTTGGTACGTAATAAGGTATTCCGGATATGCTTGTTCGCCTCTGTAGACAACATATTCGGGGAAAGCTAAACCACCTTGAGACGGTCTACCCATTACACTGTGGTGTCCTGGTGGTGCGTGGGCCATTTTCATCGCGGAGAATTGCAAAAACGATTTTCCCAGTGTGACACGACAGAGCAATAAGTGTCTGTAAGTGAACGTATATAATATTTAAAAAAACAAGTATAATTTAACTAGTAGTTTTAAATTCAAAACTCGTTCGTTTTCACACACTTACCTGTGACAGATGTAACAACTTCTATCTTTATGAGCAGGACAACCAGTACCTCCGCATATTCCATAAACGTATTGATTACTTTTACTACTGTGCTCCGCAAAATAAATTCCAGCGCCGAACATACCACCAATATACGCGTGTCGTTCATCGAAACCCTTCTGAACGATGGCATTAATAAATGGACTACCATGAAATAACATCCTCTCGTTCGCCTGTGGCAAACTCGATCCAGGAGTGGTTCTAGATCCGGTACTCGGAGAGGAAGGTGCTGCTGCGCCAACTTCCTCGGCAACTTCTTGCCTTCTATGCGCGTAACGTTCCCATAATTTACGGTTTTGCACTTTTTGTATCTATTTTAGAAAATGGTAAATAGGTTGTTAGAGGTTTTCAGTTGTGGTTCGAACAATTATTTTACGATGATGTATATAACGAACCTACCCTAACTATATTGTATCGAGAAAATATTCCACCAGAATGACCATTGTCTCTATGCTGTCTAATGGTACTTTGCATTTCTTCCTCGACAGCTAGAAATTCTTTATCCTCTGCTAATAAGTCTACTAGTAACGTTCCTGGTGTAATAGTCGGTTGCCACGGGGTACCGGCAGTTGTATTTAAAAGCTTTTCCATGCCTTTAATTAATTTGTGTCTATAACCATACGCAGATACTCCCACTTGTTTCAAATCTTCGTGACCCATCTCCGCTAATATATCTAACGTAATTTGTTCGCGTTCGAACAACTCTAACAAATGTTCTAAACCAAGGCTCTGAAGAAAACCAGCTACAGTCGTGATATTTGAATTATCTTTAGAATCTTTGGAATCTCTTTCAGAACACGTCTCAGATGGCGGCATTGGACTTAAGCAAGAAGATGGTCTGGCAAGTGGTACGCACAAAGTCATGGCTGTTCCAGAAGGCATAATGACAGTTTCTTGAGTAAGTGGCGGCGGTGGCGTAACTGGAACTGAACAATTTTCGATCATACGTATATAGAAAAATACAAATATATTTGTAATTGCACATGCATCATAGAAGTACATTTACCCGCAACGATACTGGGTGGCCTACTGTTAATAGTATTATTACCATTACTATTTAAGTTAATGGCAACTCCGACGCCAGTATTACCAGATGGTATCGACGGTACTACTTGCTGTGAAGCCATAGCATCTTGCAATAAGCATCTTACATCGTCAGCGCAAGCTAGATCCAGAGGAGTTTGTCCTTCTTGGTTTTTCGAGAAAGGATCTGCACCGTGAGCCAATAAAAGGGCACATAGCTGTGTCCTACCTTTCTGTGCTGCCTCGTGAAGTGGTGTAAAGCCCCATTTGTCAGTAGCGTTTACTACGGTATTATATTTGATGAGTAATGCAGCGATATCTAAATGACCGTAACTCGAAGCATTGTGCAAAGGTATCAATCCTCCTTTATCCTGAGCATTTACATCTGCTCCACGTTCAAGCAAAAATTCGGCTACTTCCAAATTATTGTATCCCGCTATATTAAGATATTAGCATGTTAGATCATGTAAACCAATGAAAAAGAACAATTAAACAAGAGACTTACCAGCCAAGTGTAATGGAGTACTATTACGACCTTGCGCATCCCTACAATTAATATTGTCTTGTGTAACAAGTCGCTGCACTCTCGCTAAATTCCCTTTCTTCGCTGCATCTAAAAGCGCACTGTTCCCCCGTAATAAATCGGCTACATCTTGATCGCCATCTCTTACTAAATCTAAAGGTGTTGCGCCGTCTCTGTTCTTTTTAGTGGCATCTGCACCGTGTCTCAATAATAGGCGAACT